TCATCTGACTGCCAAAATGCAGCTAATACTTAACTGAGAGGTGACCGGATAGCAGTGGTTGGTGGAGTGATCTCTGTTCAGCCAGTCTGTAAAGCACTGGCAGTGAAAGGAGCTGTGTAAATCATTATTATATTGTTTAAGTAATCAAATCCATGGCATTATTGTTTAAATAGGCTGGAGATGTGGAGCCATTTATTCATATTTTAATGTTTAAACTACCTGCTCCATAAAATATATATGGAAAAAAAAAGCTTTCAGAGATATATAAAATATATTTTTTCCAGTGCTGAATTTATAAGTTAGGGAGAACATAGTGCTACAGTAACTCTTAATTTGTAGAGTTGTTTTTTATCACCCTTAGTATGAAATACTGCAAAATAAAACAGGCCTAAATCTTTCATAAATCTAATGGCTGTATCACACTTCAGATGCACGTTTTTAAGTGGCTGCATTATTGCTTTAATTCAAAATACAGCCAGCAGGCTCAGTGTGAGCAGGAAAGTTCTACAGACCACTCTCAGGTTTATTCATCTTTTGAAATTGTGGTGAATTTCTATATTATATGAACGCCTGATGGCCAAAACTGAGATGTGGTCCCACACCATGCAGGGTGCGCTACACATAGGAAAGTCTCTGTCCCCAGATGCCTTACTTGAATTCAAGTGTTACAGTTATGTAATGCTCTATCTTAATCATTCATGACTATCCCTGTTCCTGCAGACCACACAGTGACTTCAAAGGCACAGTCTCCCTATTCATCTATGTGGGCTCCTGTTTCTGCAGTATTTTCTCATGTTTTTATCCCTGTGAGGTAAGGCAGCGCTGTCACCCCCAAGTTACACATGGGAAACTTAGGCCCAAAGAGACTAAAATTCTTTCCTTTTGCGTCTCCTCCTGCGCCTCCTCCCATGCCCCTGGCCCCGCGGCTCCTCCCTTCCCTAAACGTGCCTACTCAGCAGCTAGCCAGCTGGTGGTGGCTCTGGGGCACAGAGGCTTGCTCTTGCCCACTGCGGAGCCGGCAGGAACCGGTGGGAACCAGAGTGTCATGGAGGAAGAAAGTTCAAAGGAAACAGCAACACAAATCAGAAAAGGGAAAAAATACAAAATAAGAAAAAAAATCCAAGTAAAGTAGTCAAAAAAAAGAAAGAAAGAAAGAAAACAAGCTTGAAGAAGTCTACCTAAGGAGAGGAGTTCTAGTTCTCGTTCCAGGTGAAACAGAGTAATTCTCTTGACAGCAGGATTACCAAAAGCAGCCCAAGGACACATCCGAGAGAGAAAGAGCTCATTGGGACCATGCATGGAACAGTAAAGCAATGGTGTCACCTGCCAGCCTGTCTGACAGCAAGAGCTGCAGCACAAGATCCCTGCTGCAGCACACTTTCTGTAGAAGCGCAGGTCCAGACACAAAAGACAAACTCTGTGCTGTCACCAAAGAGGCAGCATTCCTTCCGCCAGTAACGTGGTAAACATAAGATACGGCACGTTGTCTCTGAGCACCCGCACGTTATTTCTTCCATGCCAAAATTAACGACAGTAGTTGTCATTGCAAGCTGACATAGACTGAGATGTCTCTTGGAGGCATTTGCACAAGCTATCACTCCCTTCCCTCCAGCTTCTCCCTCTAGGAAGCCATGTAGAGCAAAATTCTGATCCAGACCTGTGATCATCAGATCACTATCAGAAACATGCATCCTGCATCCACTAAAACTGATAAAATCCTGCTGTTAGCTTCAGCAATGGCCCTGAGACAACAAAGGCAAGGGAAGATCAGATGACGGAAACAGTGCTCCTTCCATTAACCCTAGTAATGATGGCATTGGTATGTCAATATATACCAATATATTGGTATATATGTCAGTTTGTTACACCATTTCAGCTCAGGGAAATCAGACAAGCTGATAGGAAACATCTATCACTGTTTCCCAGACCTCTGAATTTTTGTGGGGCCATTGCACCCCATTGCGATCTCCTTCACACCACCTACAGCTCATGTGAGAGGAATCCCACAGCTGGGATGTAAGCAGGAATGGGACTGGTGTCACACGTAATGATCAGGAGACATACCATTAACAAAAGGTTGTGTGTCGGGGAAGGACTGCTGTTCTCGCTGTTTCACTATGAGCACAATGTTCATGAAAAAGTTGAGCAGAGAAGGCAGCAAACTTTTGTTTTCTCTGCATGCAACATTTCTTATGAGCAAAGCAGGATTCCTTCTAACTGAGCACAGCCAGTGTGCCTCAGTCCAGGCATACCAGCGTATCTTAACGTATACCAAGTGCCCGTCGTTTCAGTAGCTAAGCAGTATCCCAGCCCGTTTAGCACATACACTGCATTTTATAGTGCAAAGCAGTGCAGGAATTCTGTTCCCTTAGGTTTATCTACATGCTCATTGCAGTGACATGGATCTGACCAATTAAAGCAAAACAGCTTTAGTTAATTAACTCTAAGGGACTGAGTGGTTCCCTGGCTGAAAGTCCTAAGAGCTGGCTTTGATGCATGTGAGCGCCACTGATTAACTCTCAGACATCGGACAATTCACTTCATCATCCTATGCTTCACTTTTCCCTGGTGCAAAATGTGGGGAAACAAAATTTGTTTTCTTTTGTGAAGTGCTTTTGAGAGCTGTGAATGAAAAGAGCTACATATCGTCAACGAAGCCTCACAAAGTGCCTATGGGAAAATTATGTAAATAGCAGTGTCCTCGTTGTACTTCTGGAAAAATGAGACACTAAGTAAAGTAAAGTTGCCAAAGCCCCACTGAGAGGAGGTAGAGGGGACAGGATAAGAATTTAGGGTTGCCTGAGACCTCAGCTGGCACTTGTTCCCCCAGAGGAGGCTGGCAAAGCAGCATCTTCCTCTTTCTCATTTCTGCTCACAGTACCTAGTTTTCACTCCACCCAGCTGCTAGATTGTATGCCCTCTCTTTTGTGTTGTTTGTCGTATTTACCCTGGCCATCCTACCCTCAATATCCAATTACTTGTAACACCCGACAGCCTCCACAAGTTTCTATTTCCAGTTGCAGGAATATTCCTGTTCACTGGGCCATATTCACTATATGGTGTCATATGACTATGCGCACCCTTCAAAGTACTTTTCTTCAGACTTCTACTGGGCTCAGGATCTTAAATTCTGTTGAGTTTTTGCCAAGAGCTTTGCCTCAGGAAAAATTGGCAGTAGCATGTTTCCATTCACCCTGTTCCTCATATTCTACTATTACTTAGTTTTATCTTATTCTTTCATTCTACTTGACTCCACATAATTGTGAGTCCCAAGGCTAACGCACCACTATCACAGTACATTAGCCAGAGCAAGGCAAATAATTTTAACCTGCTAATTGATCTGATTATTTCAACATATTTTTATAATTGAGCAATGGAAATGAATAAATAGAACTGAATTTTCTCAGATTTATTCAGTATTTAAACAAATATCCTTAAAAAAAATCTCTGTACTTGCTTCTCAATAGTCTTTTGGCAAAGATTGACAAAGTTTGGAGTAGCTAAATAAATCACTTTATTATTTCTGCTCTTCAACTAACTGAATTACAAGTATTTCTGGCACAAAATTTTGGCCATGTCAGCTTAACATTCAGTTCTAAAAACAGCTTTAAATTAGATTTCACTGTATGAGAAAGTGAGTGAAAAATGTTAAATGAGCATTCACCATGCCTTGTTTTTGACTTAGTCAGGGTTGAGAAAGCTACGATAAGGTGAAGAAAAAAATGGAAACGTCTGTTCTGGGGGCTGGAGGGTGAGTACTGTGACTTTCAAACACCTCAGCTCTCATTGCAGGCAATAGGGGAAGGGTACAGTAGTTCGCAGGCCGGCAGATAGTAACCACAAGGCTGTCATGGAAAGCCATGTATTTGATTGTGCTTTAGCCAGGATTTCATGCTTAAAGTAGAGTTAAAATGCAAACCCCAGTATTCCTCCACCAGATTTGTTTTTTCTTCACTGGCCTCAAGATGTTTGCAGCACTATGGGGGTTTATGTGTTTGGTTCTATTCTGACCTGAGATTCTGGCTTCTGTTGGTAGTTCATGTGTATCCAAAGATAGACTTTAGCTCAATATGTCTAATATTGCTGTCTCTGCAATAAGAAGGCAGGAAGGAGTAGCTTCTAGGGATTCATCATTAGCATGAACCTAGTACATCAGTCATTTTTCCAAGACAGAAGAAAAAAGCAATAACACTATATTTTCCTGTTCCGTTTAGTAGTTTCCTACTCATATTTAATCCTTAAAATTTATTACTTCTTTCTTTTTCATGAGTTAGTCTCGCTGCAGAATGATTCTTATTTTACATCAACAAAAGTCAAAAAAGTTGTAGAACTGGAGGAACATAATGAATATTCAGAGCTTGCTTTTGAAATTATTTGTCTCTTCTTGCATTTAATATGGTATAAAGCATTAAATGCTCCAACGTTGTCAGCAATCAGAGTTGTGTAAAACTGATGATAGCGAAGTAAGAAACAAGCTCTTTCATATAAATGAAATAGATGAAAGATCTCGTGCTAAAAACCCTGAATCTTGAACCACAGAATAATTACAGCCTGTGTTATGGGTAGACAGCACAGACTTCCTCCTACGTTGCTTCCTCTCTCAATAGCATCTTTCAATCCCACCTACAGGAGGAGGAAATGGGAACTTCTAACTTCTAGACTGTCAAGTTTTGCTTACTTTGTTAAGCTTAGTAAGGAAGGTATCATCAACTGCGGTAGTAATTTTTTTCTAAATGAGAAATCTTAACAAAGATAGTTGATGATAGAGAATGCATACTACATAGAATTGTAATGTATGACTCGAAACAGACAGAAAAGCGATGGACAGACCAACATCAACTGACAGACTGACAGATGTAACACAAATTTATCAAACAACTGTAATTTTTTAGTAAAGTCCCCTTAGTTCAAATTCAAATCAATAACTAAAAGGGAAGGACTTAATATGCTACTTTGTTCTCTCTGCCGTCATCAGAGGACAAACCAGCCATTGCATTTACCTGTAGATCAGGACTTCATCATCCGAGCAATTATATTGCAGCTGATACATTTTTACCCGAGGGGCCGACTTGCTCACTGTCCACTTGACCAAAGCTGAGGTAGTTGTCACATCTGACACCAAGACAGCCCTTTCTGGTGGACCTTTTGTTTCCCCTCGATTAGACTTGCTGGAGCTGGTGATGTCCGAGAGCCTGGATTTTGGTGGGGCTGCTCGGCTTGTGCCATTGCTGAGGTGAGGGAGTTGAACAATTGAGAGCTCAATCGTTGCAGTTGACTCTCCAGCAGCGTTGGCTGCTATGCATGTGAAAGTCCCGTAATCCTTGGACGTGGTGATGAGGATATCTAAGGTGCCATTGTCATAGACAGCTGTCCTTGAGGAATTCCCAATGAGACGGTCATCAGGGGCCACCCAGTGAATGACGGGGATGGGATCCCCAATGGCTTTGCATTTCAGTGTGGCAGTTTGCCCTTCTAAAACCAGCAACTTGTGAGTATGTTGAGTAATAAGAGGTGGCTCACAAAGAAATTCTTCTTCCCGTATGTACCAGAAGTATCTTCCCTTTAGACCCGGAGGAGAAGCACAAGTTTCCATATCATCGTCTCTGTCAAGTCGCCTTAACCACAATAGCTCGCAGTTGCAGTGCAGTGGATTGCCCCCAAAGCTGAGAGACAAAGGTGGCAAAAACGGGGTAGCGGCTAATGGAATTACTTGAGACCTGGCAAATATAGGATCGGGGGGAAGCTTCTGAAGTCTGTTGGATGTTAGATCCAACCTAGCCAATTTCTGAAGATCTGCAAACGTCCCCTCTGTAATATAATCTATCAGGTTATGATCCAAACTGAGCTGGTGCAAGTTTATCATCTTCCTTATAGATTCCCAGGGAATGCTTCGGAGGTTGTTGTAGGAAAGGTCTAAGTCTTCCAATGTCAGCAAGAAATCTTCAAAGGCTTCATCAGAGATGCTGCTTAGCTGGTTGTTGTTTAAAATCAAATGCTGAAGGTTGATTAAACCTCTCAAAATATCCTCTCCAATGTCAGGCAGCCTGTTGCTGTCCAAGTGTAAAGACCGAAGGCTCTCTAAGTCAGTGAAAGAGTAGGGCTGTATGTAACTTATGGTGTTTCTGGACAAAGTGAGGTCAACAAGTCCAGACATATTGGCAAAATCCTGTCGGCTGATATTGATAATAAAATTTCCCCCAAGGCGGAGTTCGACAGTCCTTCGGTCAATGTCTAGTGGTACAAATAGGAGACCCTTAGAGGGACACAAAGTCCCCAGTGACTCAGATAGGTTCTGACAGACACAATATTTGGGACAAGCGTTGACTGTGATAGCCATTCCAAACACCAGGATGCTGCAGAGCAATTTTTCCATGGTAAATCATGCAACAGTACCTGCAGGAAATGAAAAGAGTTACAAGCGATATTAGCAGTTATGATATAGCTACCGTTCCTCCTGATCTAGGTAACATCTACGTCCAGAAAAACTTCCCAGTGCATCCTCTCAGGACTCTTACCTAAAGCATCCATCATTCTGGGATGGGAAGATTAAATGTTATAGCAACTTTTCCCCACATAATACACTTCTTTCTTTAAAAAGATGTGATTTTGGTTCCAAATTTTAATGAGATAGGAATTCTTTGCACTTATGCCTGGTAATAAGTTCTTGTAACTACCTATTCTCTAGTTACCATTTTATAATTTTACATTGGGTATCTGGAAGATGACAAATCCTGCCATCAGAGTGCATGGCTTACTTAAAACCCTGCATTTGGAATAGTGCCTGCTTCTTTGAGGGTAAAAGCTGCCTTACAGTAATCACATATTGCTGCATAATAATGTGGAATTAATCTTAGGGTTCAAAGAGCTGATTTTATGGACAAAAATAACTGCATATCTACCCTTCAGTAATGTGCTTGGTAATGACCGTATAATTATCTGACCAGTCCTAGGGCAAGTCAGTTCACTTGCCCACCCATAATGAAATTCATGAGAGGAAGCATAGGAAGCAGAAATCACTTGCACAATCATCACCTGGATTTATGCTGTGCTCAGCTACCCTATTGGAAAGATGACATTGTCTAGCTCCAAACAGAAGACATGTGGGGGGAAACCCGTGCTGCTTTTGGCTTCTGGCAAGCCTTCCAACACCCTCTAGTTCTTATGCTGCAGTCCTTCCTGTTGCAGTGACAGCTGAGCTCTCCTCCGCATCCATGGGCTTCCATCACATCCTGCTCACTTCTCTTTGCCCTATTACCCCATGTTTTTCTCAACTCTCACATGCTTTTTCAGCTTGAGCTGCAAGGAGTGTGTCCTTGGAGAATAAACAAAATATATTTACAGGCTGATTCAGAGAGACAGCTGTGTCTGGAAGAACTTGCAACCCTGCCTCAGGGGCGGGACCATCCTCTCACATCGTTTTGCTGGCCTTCCTCCTAGACACACAGGACATAGGTAAACCTGCTTTCTTCCCGTCTCTCCCTCGCCTAGGCCCTTCTTTTGGTGAGGACTGAGAAATGGCAGATCGTTCATTTCTACCCCTCGTTCTCTCTCTGAGGCAAGGGACAGGTAGACAAAGAGCTACAGTTTTGGGACAAAGAGCTACAGTTTTACCTAGACTCTTCTGCCAAGATAGTGTGGTTTACTCTATTCCTCTCACTTGTGGCAGAACCTACAGACACAATTCAGGCTATAATTTCTGGCACAACCATTTTCACTCTGTTTAACTTGCATCACTCCTGCCACATAACTTTGCATCACTGTTCTTAACACTTGGTATACATCCTATCCCTTCTTAATCACGCAGGTGATCATACGCTCAGTGGTTTTTGGCAATACTGCTTCAGGAGCGTCATTGCACAAGAAGAAATGAGACGCCTTCGTGCTTCATCTGTTTCCCTTACAGTGGCACTCTTCCAAGACACCAGAGCTGAGTTGCCTGAGGATAGGACCCAGAGGATGGCTCTTGGTGTGCACATACAATAGTTCTTCATACCCCCACAGCTTGCTACCATTTCTGCTGAGTAACAACTCTCCATCCACTGCTGAGTAACCACTATCCGTCTGCTACACTATCCGTTGTAAAGGAGCTTGTAATGCAGTTCTCATGCTAAGATGTGAGGTTGCAATAAAGTCATACGTATGTTGTGGATGGTAGAGAGTCATTGTTGTTTAAATTTATTCTGGAGGAAGTTAGTGCTGTACATGTGACAGGATATAAACAGTATCTTATAAATAGCTCCAGTAATTAGCATTATGAGGCCGCTCAAACTTCAACAAACATATGACATAAGAAACACATTTCATGAAAAAGTTACCATGCAATTATTTACACTTCAGCACACAGCTGAAATGACAGTTGCTCAGATGTTTTATAATAATTAAAAGAAAATATAAAGGTTAGTTATTAATCCCCCAGCAATACACATCAAGGACGAAACGAAATCTATCACCTTAGTAAGATCTTTTTAACTCTTTAAATAGAGCTTGCTCCAGTTTTCTGTTAAAGGAATGAAAATGAGGGCATCTGTGTCTGGGGCTCTGGCCCAAAGGTCGCTGGTTCCTCTTGTGTGTAAGGTGGTTTTGTATCCTCCCTATAAAGCGTGTAACACAACTGAGAAAGAAGGGACTATAGAAATGCAAGATGTTGACTGCTGAACTATATATAGTATGTTTTTTATGGCAAGGTTTTCTGAATGTTGACATGCTAGTAAATATATAGCATTATTACTATTCTATAGGAGAAGAAAGGATTGAAGCATCTGTGCTGAATTCTGCAAACAAGATGAAAGTGAGATAGTTTTTAAAAAGATGCCTTGAGAAGAGTAATCTTACCTTAGATAGTAAATAGAAGGCTACTGGATAAAACATTTGGAGACTAACAACTGTTATTGATGCAAATCTGTGGCATACTTAGCAAAGTGCTGTATGTATCCCTTACATTATTATCAATTGGTGGTTTACTAACAGGCAATTGGATTTTTGAATCTTAATTATATTTGCATTCTGAAGCTTTAATTTAGTGTATTACCCTACCAGCTGAAATGATAAACAAAAAGCAGCTAAAAAGGGGGAGAAATAGAGACAGTTAATTAGTAATAAGCCCTTTCACAGCTTCTCCCTCATCTACATTCCCACCCTCTGAATATCTATTCAAAAATGTGAATGCACACTTACGAGAGCAGTGTCTTCTTTAAGTGTCCCAATTCTCTAACCACATTTTTTCCGGATGCTGTTAAATATCACAGTGCTTTGGGGAGACAGTTGACTCTAAGCATCAGTGAAAAGCATTTGTAAAAAAAATGGGGGGAGGAACAGAAGTTAATTACAGAAAATAGGCACTGCAACACAGAGAAGAGGCTGTGAAGCAGGAGACTAAATGGCAAAGTAAACCCTGATGGGGAAACCATCTGTGGGCAGCTTGAAAGCTCATCATCTGCCTGTGTGCGCTTGCCTGTGTGTGTGAAGAAGGCACAGAGAGAGCGCTACATGCTTTCTACCAGCAGGAGGACAGATCAGTAACATCTTTGATAGGATGGAAATATGGCAGCTGTCATTCCGATTGTTGAACACGTGTGAAAGTATTAATGTAAATATTGTTTATCTGCTGTGGAAATCTCCAGCCGTTGTGATCTGTTGCCAGCATCGGTATTTCAAGCTTCTGAGCCTGGAACCATAACTTGCTCTGTAACGTAGTCCTTAGGTGATCGGTTCACTACACAGCAACATTGCAACGCTGAAACAAACCCCAGAGGCTACAAATAAGACACTGGAGAGAACAGAGGTGGGGAGGGGACTTTGAGGAGAGAACATTTGGGACTTTCACAGGGGAGCTGTTGTTCTTCTTTTACCCAAGAGGAAAACAAAATACCTAGGCCACAGAAGACTTAAATATACAGGAGACACTACTATCTTCTAGAGTCCCTTCCACAGAGTCCTGACAATTGCTAGTTTCAGAGGCACTGGCTGCACAGTAAGAATTGTTATGATTTCAGATCTGGTAACTTTCATAGCAGACAGAAAAAGTGCAAAGCTTAGGGTCTGTTTTTGCTGACCGTTTTGCTCACCTTGTTCCCAAATCTCTTGTGACCTGCAGTGCTAAACATTTTACAGGCTGTTAATGGTAGCCTTGTGATAAGCTCGCTCTTCTCATTTACATTTAAAAGATATCTATCAGCCAGCTAAAGTAGATTTCTCACAGCAAGTCAGTATATCTGGCAGAGTTCCTGTCTCAGCCCAAGATGAAAAATAGCCCCTTTGGTCCTCTTATAACATGGATTGGTATGAATTAATATGAGCAAGAGTCATAAACCCTAGTGTTTTGTATTTAAATTTTGCTCATGAGATACAACTTCTGAGATTTGGCATCTCATTTCAGGAATGTCTCTGAGGCATTTTTTAATTCTATATTCATTGAGCTTTGCATATAAATTCCAATAACCTTTGCCTACTATGGCACCAAGTACAAGGTAACTGTCAGACAAATAAAGTACAGCTGCAGTATATAGACCAAAAAAAAAAAAAAAGATAGATGGATAGCAGGTCCTGTTGTACTATCTCCTAGTGCTCTGGGACCCACCTTCTAGGGACTCTGCGAATGAGTTTGGACACTTTTCTTCAGCTTTACTGCTGCTGAGGAAGAGTGGGAAATTTTTTTCTAGGAGCTACCCTTTTACCTTTTCTTAATCTTTTCTAATGTTATCTGTGTTCTCCCTGAAACGCTGTGACTACAAAATCTACCCCATAACTGCAAGGCTTGAAGGAAGAAGAATGAAAGAATGGAAGAAGTTGCATGGATATTCTCTGACGTCGTTCAATCTGCGGGATGTAAGAGGGGATAAGGTAATGTCAGGACAAAGATTTCTTCTTAATCCTTGCATTGCCAGAAACTGTGTGGAAACTTACCTAGGTCATATACTCCCTGATCCATACAGGTAGTTTATGCCTAACTTGCAATGTTTACTGTGTCAGTAAGGAATGCAAATGTCTCTCTGCATCTGGATCTCAGTCCTCAGTGCCACAAATGCTGGAACACGAGTTCTGCGTTAAGCCATTCCTCATTTTGTAGGCATCTGTGAGACTGCTTAGGCCTTTAAAGTCAAGTATGTACCTAAGTGCTCACAGTTTTAAGGCTTTAATGGTTCAAATCCCCATCTCCAAATTGAGGATACTTAACACTTCTTTTGTTTAGCTTTTCTCTTTTGTGTTTGCCTAGATTTATGCATTCCTTGGGAATTAGGCTGCTTACCACCATGCATACATGCATAAAGGTCACCTTAGATTTCAGGTAGACCTTTTTAGGAGCTGATGTTATTGAAAATAATGAATAGCATTAAGATGTGAAGCGCTTTCTTTCTGAAGCACTTTCTCTCTCCAGCCATCTTACGTTTTATAAA